GATTTTCCATACAGAACCCGTGTTTAGGTGTCGGAAATGACATAACGGATCTCTTCGCATACGGGACCGTGGCCCATCCCCTTATCCCTGTAGCATATCTGTTGTAGACCAGAGTTCCATCGTGTATTTCTGGAAGCAATTGATGGTCGACAGATGCAGGGGTCCCCGAATCGAACGAACGAACGAAACTCCAGATCCAGTTGAAGCTGCCGAGAAGATCAGGTACGGTTCCTCGCTCTCGCGCTGTCTGCGACTGGCGCGGTTGGCTCGTGGATGCTTTCTTGTAGTACTGAATGTTGTGATGGCTGGAGCAGGAGGTGTACCAAAGGGTAGCGCCGAGGACGTCGCTCAAAAGAAGAGAGGGGCAGTGTAATGCTTTGTTTGTGTGACTATCTGACGTTTGGCGGTCACTTTAGGACTTGTCTGGGCCCTGTACACGTGGGCTGGCCTTCGGGTCGCGCTCAGGCTCCATTTCGCCTATTGTTTTCGGAATACGTGTATTCAACCTCACTTATGCCTTCTACTATCCCATTTGGAGCTTCGGGACGCTACAACCGGCTAAATGAAATTACAAGACAATTTGTCAGATGATTTTATTTTACCCTGCATTTGTTTGCAGATGAGTATTCAAGCTCTATGTGTAAACACACGCCTTTTGGGTGATTAATAATCCGTAGACTTTTAATCCTCTTTTAAGGCTGAACAAAAGTCCACATCTGTTTAAAACTGCATGGAGTGACCAGTAACGATGAGGTCAAATAACATGTCTTGGTTGCTTCGGTGATAGTAAGGTCTCTGACTCACTGACGTTTCTTTTTGGCCAAAGTTACTAAAGGATAGGTGCCAATAGAGATTTCGTCGGGACAGCGCAGTATAAACCACTCAAAATAAGAGGAATTTTACCCAGCATCTTGTTCACTATTCTGCCATATAATTGCTGAAGTGACCACATTGACTCTGTCACATGCACTGACTACTCATTCAATTAGCACGTCTCACAAATGGGCTAAAATTTCCGGTTCAGCAAAATGACGCAATGCACAAATGAAGTGTTGCAATAATTTTTTCCCACCTAGATCTTCACAGCCTAAAAACTTTGGATTTGCAGAAAAGAAGTCAACTTTGAGATGATTTATTAGGCATAGTTAAATGGATACAAACTAAAAAGGGAATCAGACGTTAGGCAGATGTGTGCCCATAACAGTCACTAGGATGCATTCTTAAGGTTGTAAAAGTGAGCTTTCAGAATGATTTTCCTCCTTTCTCGAAAAGGACATAACAGCATGGGAATACGTGCGGCAGATCTAAACTGCCCATCGTATCTGGATAAAAACAAGTACATTCCGTAAATTGTTGGAAATAGATATTAATCAAGCAGCAACAATGCAGCCGAAAAATTCTGAAAGTCTAGCATCTTAGAAATGTACTTTAACACTACTAGGCGACCTAGAGTTTGTTTTATTTCGCTAGCTATTCAATTACGTATGGGACTGCAGTTCTTTGTTCTTGCGACATTTTTGTCTTCTCCTTGGGGTGTGTTATCTTATCGCTTTGTTTTCGCCGTATGCTTTAATCTAGTTGAATTGATGTGAATGTTCCATTTAAGAACAAATGATATTTTATTTGTGATCAAGGCATGTGGTTACTAACATGCACTCGAAATTTTTGTCTTTTAGTCTCACTGCATGATGGATATCTCTATTATAGGTTGTATTGCATCAGTTAAGGCCAATTTCGACTCATTCATTGTTAATTTTATTAATTTAGGTCATCATGACGAAGAGCCAAAACGTAAAGGTAGACCGGATATGCTGTGTCGGGGCGGGTTATGTGGGTACACCAACATCAGCCGTCATTGCGCTCAAGTGTCCGGAAATTCAAGTTACCGTTGTTGATTGTAATGCTGAAAGAATCGCTGCCTGGAATTCTGACAAATTGCCAATTAAAGAGGTAGGTATGGTTCTGATTCATGACTTCAATCAGTTTCGAAATTTTGCTAAACATCTCTTTTCTATTTAGCCTGGTCTTCTGGATGTTGTGAAAGCATGCAGGGGGAGGAACTTGCATTTTTCTACGGACGTTAATTTGCATGCTAGTGAAGCTGACATAATTTTTATTTGTGTGAACACCCCCACAAAGAATTATGGAATTGGAATGGTAGGCTTTTTGTCCGTATGCAATTTGTTCTCATTGTTCATAATCTTCTCCACTCGCTCAAAGCATAGATCTATGCGTTGACGAGTTTGCTTCTTTATTCCCCAATCTTTTGAAGTTCAAATCATGTTGCTCAATATTAATTGCGTCTCGTAATAATTACATGCATGGGTATGACATTTCACTGTGTTAAACCAGATGTAATGACCAAATTCGTGCAAACGATTTCAAATAAGCCTAATTTGTAAAGACGTTTTTGACGGACTATCAATCTGTTATCCTCTAGGGACGTGCTGCAGATCTGACCACGCTTGAAGCAGCAGCTCGAACGTTGGCCTCTTGTTTCACGACTTCAAAGGTTGTAGTTGAAAAAAGCACAGTTCCGGTCCGCTCTGCGGCTCGTGTAGCTGAGCTCTTGAACCTTCAGTCACCTAGTCATGTAAGTCTTGCATGTGCCAATTTCACTCATTTTTGAAATAAAATTGTTCGATAAAAGTTGAACCTTTCGTCAACGATAATTTCACCAGCTCGATCATACCGTTCTCTCGAATCCCGAGTTTCTCGCTGAGGGTACTGCTATTAAAGATCTCCTCTACCCGGATCGCATTCTCATTGGTGGCGACGAGAGCTCGGCTGCTGGCCGTCGAGGTCTGGAAATGCTCACTTGGGTCTACAAGCATTGGATTCCTGAAGATAGAATTCTTCTCACTTCAGTTTGGTCATCTGAACTCTCTAAACTCGTAAGTAATGCAAGTTCTCAAGGTTTTGCATTGCATTCTTTCCAGTTGTTTGGTTCCTACTACTCTGTCAAAACTAATACAGGCAGTCAATTGGAATTACTTTCGATGATTTTTAAACCATACACTTTTCCAACATTCGTGGTTTTTCTAAGTATATTTCCGAAGTAGTGTTTTGTCTGTCTAGCAATTATTGAGCATTTTGAGAAAAACTGGGTAAATGACCAAACAAATGCACCAGATCCCAGTTTGCCTTGTAAATTTGATAC